AGCAGGTAGTTCCTCGATGGAATCGAGCAATAAGCTGGAAGAGAAAGTTGAAGTTTCACTCCCATCGCCCACTCCATCAACGAATCCTGGAATGGTGCGTGGCTCGAGTCTCTTCACCCGGATAATCTTGTGAAAAACTAATAATATCATGGAATTATGCTAAGATCCCTCATATTAGTGATTGAGAAATCATGATTCAGCCCTTGCTATGATGTATAGATGTTACTGAACCGAAACCTTAATTTTGCAGAGCGGATGGAGGCCGGGAATGATTCAGAATCCGTTTTCAAAGCAAAATCCCGGCGGATCCGCGGTTTCTAGATCGGTTTCTCAAGCTCCCGGGGCATCGATGCAGTGGCAAGCCGAACAATCCAACCAGCGATATGTCTCATCAGCGTATAATACCTCAAGTCCATCGCCTCAAACAACTAGCATCATATCTGAGAAACATCATCAACTTCAACATCGTTCCACTGTTTCAACGACAATGGAACGGCAACAGATTCCGCCATTGCAGCAACAAAATTTCCATCTCAACCCGCAACTTCAGCAGAACATCTCGGGAAATCCATCGATCGGGTACCCGAGTAAGGAGCCGATGGGAACTGCGTCAGATTCATGGAGGGCACAGGCGAACCGGTCTATATATTACTCTCATGAACCGAACAATGGTGCATCATTCCATGGAGGAGGACATGCTCAGGCACCATCATATACAGTGAACCGGAATACAAGTAATCCGGGGTACGAGTCATGGAGTCCGGAGCATAGCCCGACGGGTCGGAACCATCCTAATGGATATTGGGACCAAAACAACAGAAGGTGGCGGCACTGACCAGAAGAGATAGCCCCTCATTGTGTCGGATCTCTGAGCGTTCACCAGATTTTGTTATGTGAAATGAACCCATGAAAAAAAAAGAGGAGAAAAGAAAAAGGAGACTGCAATTCAAAGACTTTCCAATTACCAAATTCGACTGGCCCATATATTTATATGTAAAATCTTTTTCTTTTCACAAACTCAAATTTCGTTAATGTAATAATATTCGTCTATAAACTGTTCTGGCTTTTAATTGAATCACAAGAGCCTCAGTTATTCTAACACTAGAATATTCGAAAATCATACGTAAATAAAGATATCTGAAAATGGAACAATTATTTATATTCTTCGTATTCACTGGACGTAAAACCGTTCCAATCAACAACGGTGGAAAATATATATATTAACGATGCTTGGTGATTACATATTCCCATCAAGTCTGGAAATACATCATATACTTGTAAGATACGTTTTTGTTTAATATATATATATATATATATATATATATATATTATATAATGTTATAAACTATACTTTCCTTAGAACCCTCTCTTTCTTATATGCCAAGTAAAAAACATGTTCCTCTCCCTAGCAACGCAAAGGAGATGTTCCATACACACACACACATATATATATATATATGTGATCATGGTTTTGATAGGTTATATATGCAAAAACACAAAACCGTAGATATCTATATACATATATACACATATATATTTGATCGAACACACAACAACTCGTTATACTCATGCTTTTCAGAGCTATGCAGAACTACTTCAAGATGGTATTCGAGGTATTTAATTGGAAAGGCCTACTCGCCAAGAAAGACTTCGGTATGTCGGTTCACGGTTATATATATATATGTATATAAACTATCTAGCTATATATATATATATATGTATAATGTAAAGGTGAGTAAACACAAGTATATATTGATGGAAGGTTACAAGGTCCATGGACACCCTTTATCCACCAACACAAGACGTGTTCTTGCTGCTCTCTACGAGAAAGGCCTCGGCTACGAAGCCATCGAGGTCGACTTGAAATCCGGCCAGCACAAGAAGGACCCTTTCCTCCGCCATCTCAACGTAAAATCTCTCCAACAACTATCAGATCTTTATATATTTTCAGAAAAATTCTGTTTCTTTAAATATATATATATATATATATATATATATATATATTATCTGTGCAGCCCTTTGGTCAGATCCCGGTTTTCGAAGATGGGTCATTGAAGTTGATCGGTAATAATGTATCTATATATACATATAGATATATATATATATATATATGTTAGCTTACATTGTGAAATTGTTGTCTGTTTCATCAGAATCCAGAGCCATCACGCAGTACATAGCTTACGTCCACAGCTCGAGAGGAAACCCGCTACTAAACCTCGAAAGCCACAAGACAATGGCGATACAGACAATGTGGATGGAGATCGAAGCTCAACAGTTCAGCCCTCCTGCCTCCGCCCTGACATGGGAACAAGTCATAAAGCCCATTTACAATCTCCCGACCGACCAATCAGCCGTGGAGGAGAACGAGGCCAAGCTGTCGAAGGTTCTGGACGTGTACGAGAAGAGACTGGCCGAGACTGGTTACGACCATCTGGCGAGTGAGAGCTTCACACTGGCAGATCTTCACCATCTCCCGAACATAGAGCTGCTGTACGCGACCAAGACGAGGAGACTGTTCGAGGAAAGGCCACGTGTCACGCTCTGGGTGGCCAGGATTAGGGCTAGGCCTGCCTGGCAGAGTGCCTGCGATGTTGCGTGTTGGTCAAGTAATATCAAGCAGGAGGGGTTGAACTGAATGAACGATGTCGTGTGTTCGTGCAGTGTGTTATCGGATTTGAATAAAGAGTGTTTGTGTATTATAAAATAAAATACATATGAATAAGAAAACGAGAAAGAAATGGTATTTTTTAGTCACTACGAATGTAGATATTCGAGGGTTTTGACACGTGGACACGTGGCGAATCTAGGAAGCATGTGTTTCGTGATCCGATCATCAGAGCCGTTGAAGTTGCATAGATCCTACGTTGTTTTTTTTTTTTTTTGGGAAAAAACCCTAAAAATTTCTGAACTTGTATTTTGGAGTAATATTAATTCCTAAACTTGTAGAAGTGTCTATTAATTCCCAAACTTGCAAAATTGAACACGTTAAATCCTGAACTTGTTAAACGGTTCCATATTCGTCCATAGCATACCATGGTCCTGAGCCTTTTAATGTAACACTAATATTGAAGATTGTGGAGAGCTCTGGAGATAACTCCAGTCACTACATGTAACCAACATGTTTACAGCATATTGTCATGGAGTTAGGTCTAATTCTGGACAGTGACAGTATGCTTGCCTGATGCAGAGAAACAAAACAGAAGGAGCCGACATACCTTCATCCTCGTCATCGTAATTATCCACGTCAAGTTCCTTCAGCCCATCAGCAACATCATCAACATCCATGGAAGAAGAGTTCTTACCGCCACGGCTAACACCTGAGCAACTTCATCTCCGGAATTTTCAGCTTCGCCATCTACACATACTTCTTCTTCTTCATCATCATTACTCTTAGCATCGTCGCCAGCAAAATACGGATAAATGTCAACAAATTGAACCACATCTAAGATTAATTGAAACGAAACAAGAATGAAAACAGGGGAATTCGGGAAGAGCTTAAAAAAAAACCTTCGATCAAAAGCGCCGTTCTTTATGAGCTCTTCGATTTCTTCCTTGGAAGGCCGATCCGACGTGGCGTGTGACGTGGCGCGCCACGTCGGATCGGTCAACTCGTTTTTTTGACCAAATAACGCTATGGACAAATATGAAACCGTTTAACAAATTCAGGATTTAATGTGTTCAATTTTTCAAGTTTGGGAATTAATAGGCACTTCTACAAGTTTAGGAATTAATATTACTCCAAAATACAAGTTCAGGAATTTTTAGGGTTTTTTCCCTTTTTTTTTTTTGGGTTTACGCGCAAAATAAATGCTTGGGTTTCTTTAGAGATGGGCTTCAAAGATACACCCACATAAATGGGCTTTAAAGAAACACCACAAAATTGGGCTTTTGGAAGGCCCAATATGCATATAATTTTGTAAAATGATGATGATGATGATGATGATGATGATGATGATGATGATTGGGATATGTAAATTGAGTAGCACGTAAGTTATATGTGACGATATGATGGGAGATGTTGGTAGATTTGGTTAGAACACGTGCTTATTAGTGTAAACATATATGTGTTGAGCACGAATGAGTTCCCTCCCCCAAGTGTTTTTTTTTTGGAAAAATCTAAATTCGATTTTAACCAAAAAAAAACTTAAATTTTATTTTTTTACCAAATAAAATTTCAAATTTATCTAAATTATCAATTTTAAATCAAATTTACGTGATATGCTAATAACATAATATGTGTACATCAAATCAACATTAAAATTTACCATAAAGTATTGATTTATCATCGACATTAAAATTTAAAAATGATTACTATTATAAAATTTGGATTTATTTTTTATTAAAAAATAAAATTGAGATTTTATTTAATAAAAAATAAATTTAGATTTTATTTTATAAAAATTGAAAATTTGAATTTTTTTTGAGATTTTCCTTTTTTTTCCTCTTCCCAAAACGGTTTCCTGTTTGAAACGTGTTCGGTCATGATCCTACTTTTTACTTACCTTGGATACTTATTTATGTCTGAAACTTTATATTAATTAATTTGGATATTGTGCTTTTAGATTCCCATTGCCAATTAGTTTTGCAATTTTTTTTAAAATTGGATTTTGGGTTAAAAAAACATAAAAGAGTAAATTGTGAACGAAACGTTGGTATTTCATTTCATAAGAAGTCTGTGGAACATGCCTAACTGGCTGTCGTGTGGATCTGATTTCGCCATTTTTATTTTATTTATTTTTTAAGATTTTTTTATGTATTTTTAAACAACGTAAAAATACACATTTTTTTTTTGCTAATGAAAAAAAAATCCATTGTTTTTTTTTTTATATTTGACCAGTAATTAAATTATGGTATCAAGTCATAAGAGGAAGTTGCGACCTTAGCATTATTATAAATGTAAAAATTCAAGGTAAACAAACCTTCCTCTCTAATCATTTCGTGAAATCTCTCTCATTTCACGTCTCTCTCTAGAAAAGCAGAGCGGCTCTCTTCTTGGATCAAGGGGTCTACTCTCCCAACAGGAAAATCAAGCGACGCCCGGCGGCGGAGGAGGAGGAGAAAGGAGGGGAATTTTACGGCGAGAGAGGCGGACAAGAGATATGGTGGAGACGCGGCGCACCTCATCTTCGGCGAAGCGTTCTTCGCCGGAGGCCTCATCGTCTCGGCCCAACAAGCGATCTAAGGTTAAGATCGAGGTGACCGCTACTGCTCTCGTATCTGTACATATCTCGTCGGAATTCAAGTTTGTCTCTGTGGTTTCTTCACCCCGGATTTGAATCCGGGTTTATGTTTCTTCTGCTTATCTCGATTCGTTTGTTCTTTGGTGTGATCTCGATTTTGAAAACCCTAGGCGGCGGAGCCGGCGGGGTCTTCGTCGACGAGCGAGGTACCGACCGGAAATCAGGGACCGGCTTCGGATCCTGGATCGGAATCTGGAGACCGGGAATCGGGGCGCCCTGATCCGCAGTCTACTGATGCGGCAAATCCCGTTACAACTGATGTGAAAACCCTAGGCGGCGGAGCCGGCGGGGTCTTCGTCGACGAGCGAGGTACCGACCGGAAATCAGGGACCGGCTTCGGATCCTGGATCGGAATCTGGAGACCGGGAATCGGGGCGCCCTGATCCGCAGTCTACTGATGCGGCAAGTCCGTTTACAACGGATGCGGCGGCGGCGGCGGCGGCGGAAACCAGTCCTCATCCCGACGCCGACACAGAAGCTGAAGTCCTGGTGACCCCGACGGCAGCAGGTTCGATAGTTTTCTGATGTTGCATGCTCTCTTTGTTCGAGTTTCTCTCCAAAAGTCGACTCCTTTTTCACGGGTATGTGGTTTTAAATTCAAATGGTTTCGTTCGGGGTTTAGGTGAAGTGTTGGTAGATGCGGAGAAACCGAAGGCGGTGAAGAAGAGGGCTGGAAAAGCTCCATGGGGCAAGCTGCTATCCCAGTGTTCTCAGGTGGGTCTGAAATCTTTGTCAAGGGCTTGGCGTGTATGGCTTCTATGGTGCGAAATTGTGTTTAGGGGTTTTGCAGTCTGCAAAAGGTGTTGTTTGGTCAAGACTGAGGCTTTCGTTTAAGCTAGGGAAGTTAGCTTTCTGCATTGCCAGTTCTTATTTTCTTGTCATCTTTCCTAGTTCGGTCTTTAGCACATATACCATGACCATGGAGCATTCTATGAAAACATCTCGTTATGGTGGAGTTGTTGACTTTCTAACAGCTTGGCCTGCATTATGTGGTTTTATGATGGATTATGTGAGTATTTGCATGTTGTAAGAAAGGATTTCATTTCCACACTCTGTTTGAAGAGGGAACTATTGCATTTCTTCGTTTTATGTTAGTGATTGGTGAATAATAGTTACAAGGATTAGTTATGGACAGCATTCTTGTGGAAGAAAGATATCTTTCTTGTCCAAGAGGATGAAGAGATTTAGTCATAGTGCACTGTATGGATGAATTGCGCTGTTGTAGCAACTGATATTGTTCCGGATGCTTGTTAAGAGTGTAGTTCAAGAAGTATTTGATAGTCCTTCTCATCCATGTCCTCTGTGTTTGACAAATTCCAAGTCTTTATGCTGGCAAGAAATGCTCATAGGTTGTCAACGGGCTACCTTGTTTTATATTTTTTTGGTTAATCTATTTGTCTTTTCCTGTAAATGTCCCCAAATAGAACGATGTGATGACTGCTCTTTTACAGTGTCATTAAGTTAGAGACTGTTGCCAACTTCCCGTTATAACTATTCAGGCTATACTTCTTTTGTGTCTGACGCTCCTGTGGTTTTCTGCAATTTTAGAACCCTCATCGTGTCATGAAATCTCCTGTCTTTACTGTTGGACGACGCGGTTGCGATTTATGCATAAAAGATCCATCTATGCCCAGCACCACACTTTGTGAACTGAGGCAAACTGAGGTATGGACATTTGAATGACACATTTTATTTTCTTTTACTATTTAGAGAGGCAAAACGCATCTGCTTATAATGTTAATATTTTTTGTGTGTTTTTGCAGCAAGGAGATGCATCAGCTGGATCTCTAGAGATAATGGGAAACGGAGGAATTGTCCAGGTCAATGGCAAGAATTATGAAAGGAAAGCTAATATTCATCTGCGAGGTGGTGATGAGCTGGTCTTCAGCCCCTCTGGGAAACATGCTTATGTATCCTTTTTAAGGTTTTTGATAAATGTCATTTCTTTATATATTCAGTTGCTGAAATTGTGCTCTGGTTCATTTTTATGTTATTTATATCGCATTTCCCATTGGTAATCAGTGGTCACTGTAAACATTTCCTTGACGCCTGGTAAGATATTTCAGCCTCTTAAAGATGATAATCTAGCTGCTCGGGATATTGCTTCTCCATTGAGCATTTTGGAAGCTCAGAGTGCCCCTTTGAAAGGGATTCATGTTGAGACAAGAGCTGGCGATCCCTCAGCTGTTGACGGGGCATCTATATTAGCATCTTTATCAGACTACCACAGATTCCCCCTTCTACCACCGACTGCTAAACGTGCAGAAGGCCAGCAAAATCCGGAGGTCCCCGGGGTACCTTCTAGTTACAGTGATTGTATTCCAGACGTTGACATGACCGATGCTGATTGTAGCAATGATCATGCTGCTATTGCTTCAACGGAGAAAACTGTTGCTTCAACTTCTAGTGCTGCCAACAATAATCTGAAGGCTGATGGCAGTGGAATGAATCCTTGCCAAGAAAATGGAGGTGGATGTGTTCCTCTTTCGGCTTATGAAATTAGGCCAGTCTTGCGCTTGTTCAGGGATCCATCTTCTTCTGAATTTGATTTAAGGGGAAGCATTTCCAAAATACTGGATGATCAAAGGGAAGTCAGAGAACTCCTTAAAGAATTTGACCTTTCATCAGCTTTACTATCGACTAGACGTCAAGCATATAAGGACAGTCTGCAAGCAGGAGTACTCAATCCTGAGAACCTGGACGTTTCTTTGGAGAGCTTCCCATATTTCTTAAGGTCTGTAGTCTTTGTATGTTTTCTGTTTAAATCCCTGCTTAATGTCATTCTGTATTGATTGATTTTCTTGAAAGTTCATATTTTACATCTTCACTTTAAGTTGGGTGATAAACACAGTTCTTCATTGTTGGATTGGAAGTCCTTATGCTCTGATTGTTCATGCCTAAACAAGTCCTGAATTGTCGCAGTACTGCAACGAAGGATGTTTTGATAGCTTCAACCTATGTTCATATGAAGTGTGGAAACAAGTTTGTGAAGTACGCATCAGATTTGTCTACATTGTGCCCCCGTATATTGCTCTCTGGTCCAGCTGGTATGAAGATTCTCTGGATTATTTTTGTTTTTCTTTTGTTTTCTTTCCATTTTTTCTGAAAGTCACTGTGTGGATGATTTATAGGGTCGGAGATATATCAGGAAATGTTGACAAAAGCACTTGCAAAACATTTTGGGGCCAAATTGATGATTGTCGACTCTCTTTTGTTGCCTGGGGTAGGCTTTTCTGTAGCCTTCATTTTTCTCTTCTGTATTTATTGCATCGATGGTATCCCTTCCATTGTGGGAATGCATTGACTCTGTCATTTCTGGATGATTTCAGGGATCGTCAATAGCCAAGGAAATGGATTCTTCCAATCCCAAAGAAAGTTATAGGCGTGAAAGACTATCAGTGCTTGCCAAACGAGCGATACAAGTCGCACAAGCTGCTGCCTTGCAGCATAGGAAACCAACTTCAAGTGTTGAGGCTGATATAACAGGCGGTTCAACCTTAAGTTCTCAGGCTTTCCCAAAGCAAGAAGTGTCAACTGCGACTTCTAAAAGTTACACATTCAAAACAGGCACGATCACTTTTCTCCTCTCCCCTTTATTTGTTTTTTTGTTCCTCTTTTTCTGTTTAACTAAACAAACTTCTGTAATTTTTAGGTGATCGAGTGAAGTTTGTGGGTCCGTCTTCTGCACTTTCTCTTCAAGGCCCACTGAGGTATTACTTCTGTTCTTTTTTGTTTCTTCACCCCCCTCCCCCCCCTAAAGCCTTGTCATCAGCCGCAGTCTGCAGATGATTGTTGTTATCAAATGTCAATTCTTATTTTACTGTTCTATTCAGGGGACCAGCAATTGGTTTCCAGGGGAAGGTAGTCCTTGCATTTGAAGGCAATGGTTCTTCAAAGATTGGGGTTAGATTTGATAGGTCAATTCCAGATGGCAATGATCTTGGTGGTCTCTGCGAGGAAGACCATGGTTTCTTTTGTACTGGTAAGTGGTAACTTCCTATGATTGTCTCTCAAATTTATTTGAAAAGTCAACTGTAGTAACGACATCCTCAATGTGCAGCTAGTTCACTTCGTTTAGATAGTTCCACCAGTGACAATGCTGATAAACTCGCCATCAACGAAATCTTTGAGGTGATACATTCTTTTTTCCCCATGTAATTGGATAATTCTGTTGTATCCTAGTAGATACCGTGCTTGTTAAACCTCTCGATTCATGTTATAGGTTGCATTTGGTGAGAGTGAAAGATGTCCGTTAATATTGTTTCTGAAAGACATCGAGAAATCTCTGGTGGGGAACAATGATGTGTATGCAACCTTGAAGAGTAAGCTTGAGAATCTTCCCGAGAATATTGTTGTCATAGCCTCACAAACCCAGTTGGACAACCGAAAGGAGAAAGTATGAACTCGAATCATCCGTTCCTTTTTTTTTTGGCTTGTTTGAGCTGTTCTCTAATTTGCTTGAGCTCTGATTGAAATGGTTTGTGTGTTTTTGTTTTTCATTTTCAGTCTCATCCGGGGGGTTTCTTGTTCACTAAGTTTGGCAGCAATCAGACGGCATTACTGGACCTGGCTTTTTCGGTATGGCAGCGAACTTGTAGTACTCCGATTTGTATCTGAGCATTTACATTTCTAGAACTGCAAATCCGAATCGTATGGGAAATTCTGTATGTTTATCCATGTAGTTCCTGCATACCATGTCCTCAATTTTATCTTATATTCGGTATTTTTGTAAAGATTTTATGAGAATAATTAATTGTATCATCTACAGGATAACTTTGGTAGGTTACATGACAGGAGCAAAGAAATGCCTAAATCGATGAAACAAATAACCAGGCTATTCCCTAACAAAGTGGCCATCCAATTACCTCAGGTTTTGAACCTATCTTTTTTTTCCCTTGACTGTGTCCCATTTTTGTTTCTGTTAAAATCTCACTTCCTGATACTCTTAAAACATCAAAGGATGAAGCTTTACTGTTGGAATGGAAGGAGAAACTGGAACGCGATACAGAGATCTTGAAGTCTCAAGCTAATATCACCAGCATTCGTGTGGTAAATATTTAATGGCGTTGTTTCACTTTCTAAGTTGTTCATGATGGCTCTTATTATTGTTGTCCTTGTAACTGTCCTTTTGTTGTGGTGCTAAAACAGGTTCTCAGCAGAAATCGTCTGGCTTGCCCCGAGCTTGAAAGCTTGGCCTTCAAAGATCAGACCCTTCCACATGAAAGTGGGTCCTCGTATTCAATGTCTTTCTGCGTTGAGTATATATATATATATATATATATATATATATATATATATATAATATGTTTTGTCTGACTTAAAAATCGTTTTTTAAACTTAGGTGTTGAGAAAATTGTTGGTTGGGCTTTGAGTCACCATTTTATGCATTTTTCTGAACCTACCATCAAAGACAACAAACTTGTCATTTCTGCCGAAAGGTGAGCCTTTTTTTTTCTTTGGTTCTACTGACGTTGTGGAATATAATAGTAGTTAGCCGGAATATAGTCTGTTTCATTGCATGATATGCAATACAGTAGCGGAGGTATGTTTTAGACACCTTGGATAATGTTGTGATATTTCCTTGGTAATGATAATAATATTTTGGTGTGTATTACAGCGTTAGCTTTGGCCTTAACATTTTGGACGGGATTCAGAACGAAAGCAAGAGTGTAAAGAAATCTTTGAAAGTAATACTTTTACCTATTTTTGTCTCCCCACAGTAAGTGAAGTTGTGGAGTTTTCACAATCAATGGTGTGTGTGTGTTATGACGTTACAGGATGTTGTTACCGAAAACGAATTCGAGAAAAAACTCCTATCGGATGTCATTCCACCGAGCGATATCGGTGTCTCGTTTGATGATATTGGGGCTTTGGAAAATGTGAAAGACACCTTGAAAGAGTTAGTGATGCTTCCTCTCCAGAGACCTGAATTATTTGGCAAAGGCCAGCTTACAAAGGTAACTTCCCTCTGTCAACATATACAATGTTTCCTTCTCTTCTCTGGTAACTGAACCGAATATAACATATATACATGCTGCTGGTCTTATATTATAGCCGACGAAGGGTATACTATTGTTCGGGCCTCCGGGCACCGGGAAGACAATGTTGGCAAAGGCAGTAGCAACCGAAGCTGGTGCAAACTTCATCAATATATCAATGTCCAGCATTACTTCTAAGGTTTTTCTTTTTTCAAACTATGTCGTCATTTAATGACACTTCCTTCTCTGGATTTGAGTTGATTACGCATATGACATTGCAGTGGTTTGGTGAGGGAGAAAAGTATGTGAAAGCCGTTTTCTCCTTGGCGAGTAAGATTGCTCCAAGTGTCATTTTCGTCGATGAGGTAAGAGTATCAGAACCGCCCCCTCTTCATTTGGTCTGGCATCCGGTTTGGCCATATAGTAATTTATGTGTGTGTCTCTTGGATCGGGATATAAAAAAAACAATTGTAAGGTGGACAGCATGTTGGGAAGACGGGAAAATCCGGGGGAGCATGAGGCGATGCGGAAGATGAAGAATGAGTTCATGATAAACTGGGATGGTTTACGCACAAAGGACAGAGAACGAGTTCTTGTTCTGGCTGCGACGAACCGGCCATTTGACCTCGACGAAGCTGTTATTCGACGGCTTCCCCGGAGGTAAAGAAAGATGACCATTTAACTATCTTTCTTTTGTCCTTTCGGGGGAAGAAGAAGAGGCCATTATAATATAGCTCATGCATGTGTCATGTGATGTGCAGGTTGATGGTTGATTTGCCGGACGCAGCAAACCGAGAGAGGATATTGGGAGTGATTTTGGCCAAGGAGGAGATGGCATCCGACGTTGATTTAGAAGCTATAGCTAATATGACCAATGGCTATTCAGGAAGTGACCTCAAGGTCTCTACTCTCTCTCTCTCTCTCTCTCTCTCTTATCTCCTCACTCTCTCTACGACTATCGTCGTCCGACAAAATCTGTTTGGTTTTGCAGAACCTGTGCGTGACTGCAGCCCATCTCCCTATACGAGAGTTACTGGAGAAAGAAAAGAAGGTTCGGTTATAACATATATATGTATATGTGTATGTATAGATGTCTTTTTACTGTCAGGTTTCATGTTTCGGTGGTTCATCGGTTCATTTGCATGGGTGGATATTTTTTGCAGGAGAAAGTGGAGGCAGTGGCAGAGAAGAGGGAGTTTCCTCCTCTGTATAAGAGCTCAGACATTCGTCCCCTGATGATGAATGATTTCAAGGTCGCCCATGAACAGGTAGCCCATATATATATATGCATATATATAGTAAATGTAAATGAGAGTGTGGGATGATGGTGATTCACTTACACTGCCTTTTGACGTAGGTGTGCGCGAGTGTGTCGTCGGAGTCATCGAACATGAACGAGCTTCAGCAGTGGAACGAGCTGTACGGAGAAGGTGGGTCCAGGAAGAAGACTTCCCTCAGTTACTTCATGTAATATAATACCCAATCGTCACCGTCATCATCATGAGGAGTTTGCACTCCTCTCTCAGATCAATGTGTACAGAGACCGAGTTACCGTTTGAGTTTTTTTTTTTTTTGGCTCAGAACCTCCATTCTTTCTTTCTCCGAACCCTCTCAGGCTGTATAATATATATTTATATATATATATATATATATATGTATTCGACAAGCAATATATATATAGTTCCTCTCTTCTTTTCTCTTCTCCCATTGAGCTATATGCGCATGGAAGTTAATCATTACTCGGATTCCTCCCTCAACCATTTTGATCTATCTTCTATGGGATGAGAGGAGAGATCATCCAACCACAAACCAAACCGAAGCCGGTCTGATCTCAGCGTCGGTTTTGTGATACCAATTTGAACCGGAACCCTAACCGATACCCAGACAGATATCACTTGCAGACTTGCAGTCGACTGAAATTACTATATGAAACGGCGTCGTGTGTGTAGGACGTAGTTCAACTTCACAGGAACCCTGGTCTTGAACGCCTCTCCCCGCCGCGTCTCTTCTTTGCCAGAAACTTCCGAAAGAAACCTGAGAGAGAGAGACATGGGGAGATCGAGAAGGAAGTATAAGAATTCCAGGGCCAAGGTAAGGGTTGGGCTTCCGAGGAGAAACCCTAATGTCTTCAAGCCTGCTTTCAACCTCCCGCCGAAGCTCCGCTCTCTCATGGCGGACGATCTCCCTTCGTGGGACGACAACGCCAGTGTCGTCCAGAACTACAAGTCCTTCGGTGTCGTCTCTAACCCTAATTTGCTAGGCGTCCGGTCCCGCACCGTCCATCTGGTCCAAGCCGACTCGCTCAACGTTCCTCCCCCGCCGGAGCCGACGACGGAGGATCCCGTCGCCAAGGAATTCGACCCTATTGATTCCGGCAGCGATCTCGAGGAAGACGGTAATTTTATCTCTGTTTGTCATGCCTTAACACATGACCGATGTCCCGGTTAGATTCGACTTTTGGGGAAACCTGGGTTTGTGGGAATTTCTAGGTTCGGGCGATAAGTAATTAAGCCTTAACATATTTTCAAAACAAATCTTTTCACTACTATTGATTCCGATGAACGATGACGACTGATATCAACCTCGATTGATTCGGCAATTTGAAGGAGGAGACATGGGGTTAAAGATTCATGGATTGAATGTGTATATGGTAATCATTTCTTTAGTTTTGGGATTCTGGGTTCATTAGATAGCGTAAAGCTTGTTCTTTCTAAACTTGATTGGCCATGGATTTCCTCTGCATCATGTGTCTGATGCGTGTAATAAGTTACAGCTTAGAGAGGCGTAGGTTGGTGTATATGGGATTGATGCAAGATAAACAGTGAACCAGACAGCAACCTAAGATGGATTTCTGTACTAAATTGCCATATCTCTGGTTATTGATATAGGATCATTTTCATCTAAATTCGCCATTACCATTATCACTATGTCATGCAGATCTTAAGACAGCACTCGGGAAGCAAAGGAAAGACAGGAAACACGCACCATTGCAGCCGCTGACAGCTACGCAACGCAAACACATCGGCCGTCTGATAGAAAAATTCGGAGATGACTACAAGGTTAGCTGTTCAAAGCCTTACTCTGTTCGGTTGGTTTAATCCCCGAGAGGTCGTCTTCCTAACTTGGAATCCGTTTGTATAGGCCATGGCTCGGGACACGAAGCTAAATGCAATGCAGCATACAGTTGCAGCTCTTCGGAAGCTTTGCACGAGATATCACATGCACAAGGACAAGAACCCTATGTTAGTTCCAAGCTAAGACACACCACCATTGAGATAATAGCTCAAGCATAATGCCTCTTTCATGTCCAACTCTTCTTGTTTAATTTAATCTATGATGGCATTGTAATGGCTCCCCCTGAACTGTTATTAGTTATTACAGTCTCTTTGTGCGTTGTCAAACAGAGAACTAAGTACAAGCATGAAAACCTTTAAAAAAAATCTTAATTTTATTTATAAGAATTACCAAAAAAATTTGAATTATATATGTAGTAGATGTAAAGGTTAATTTCGTATTTTTTAAATTAAATACAAAAAATATCCCGAGAATGAAAATAACAAGTTCTAAACATAATTAATTAATGGTTAATTTAATGGAAAAAAGGTTTCTCTGTCTGGCTATCGATAACATAAGAAATGATTTCGTACGTAGAAATGTAATATCTGTAGTGGAGCTGTTTCGCTTGAATTTCAAGAAGAGATCTGCGACGAATGAAAATTTGGATCTACGTGTTTGATCTGGAAAGTTCTGAGCTTTATGTCCCAGAGACATCTGGAATCGTCTTCGCGGAACTCCCTTGAATCCTGCACCTTGCAGCTCCTCTCATGGCGTCCGTTTCACGGAGCCGCTCCCAAAACCCTAGACCCGTCTGAGCCGCAGAAACCCTTCAGCTCCACCAATGGGTTTCACTCCACTCCCAAGCGGCCTTGCCTCTCTGACCGCTCCACCTCTTTCTCCATCGAAGCCATCAGCCGCCTCTCTCTCGCCGACGACGACAACTGCGGAGGCGGTGGTGGGAAAGCTCCGGCGTCTAATTACAAGAAGGGAAGTCTCCGGCTGGTGGCGAGGAAGCGGCGGCGTCGCGGGTCGAGATCGGTGTCGGGCAGGAGCAGCGATCGGAGCGCGAATCGGAGGTGCTGCTCCGTCGGAGCTCACGGGACCTGCTCGGATTTTCCGTTCACCGTCGGTACGGATTCGAGCGGAGAGCTATTCGGCGACGTGAGCTGGGCTTCCGACGTGAGCGAGGTGCGGAATTCCGGCGGCGGAGGAGGGAACGGGGAGAAGGAAGGCGGCGGCGGAGGATTCGGGATGGGGATCGAGCCGATGGGAAGCGAATCCGGGTACGGGAGCGAGCCCGGGTACAGAGGGGATGCTGAATTCGGGTATGGCGATGAGTTCGATGAAGAAGAAGAAGATGCTAAGCTGATGTTCTGGGGAGGTAATTACTAATTCAGCGACTTTCTGGATCCTTCCATATTACAAAACTCAGCACGTAGTTGTAAGTTTTAGTTCCCAAACTACTGGAGACGACAGTAACTCTTATGTACATGATCCCCATCTCAAGATCCATCGTTTTTTGGATTAGAAACTACACTTGTCTGAATCTGAAAGTTAGCAGAGGGTACTTGATCCCTTGTTCTTGGAACTGGAAGTCATTTCTTTTGATCAACAGCTCCCGATCAGGTGGAGATCAGAGCTGGACACTCTGACTGGTTGTAAGGAGATGTAGAAGCTTGTAATAAAATCCCAATGAGAGTGATGCTTATAACTGATACATAGGTTTCTGCCTCTGTGTCTGTTGATCATTATGATGATGTAGAGGATTCCATGGTTCTTTTTTTTAAAAATCATTATGATAAAATCTGTTTCTTGGATATGTAGATTCAAGAATGGAGGTGGTCGGGGAGAAGGAATTCTCGGACAAGAAAGCTCACAACAGGTGCCGCCGCAAGAAGCATGACTACCGAACTCTTGACGATTCCATGAGATAACCACACGGCCATTTGCCATCCATAATCTCTTATCAAACTCCAAGTTTTCCCCTTCATTGTTATTTCTTTGAAGACTAGCAAAAATGGTGAAAAGTTTTTTTTTTCTCTCTCTAGTGAAAAAAACCCCTACTTGACCATTGGGTTTGAGTCAATATGATTTGGGAAGACGAGCATTGTATAACATCAATATAGGAGTTTTACATGTTTTATTATTGACATCCCGTACGTCAACTATGCTTCAAACGAGAATTCTAACGTTACAAGGCAAAGCTGGGCCTTTTAGAAGACAACTTTGGGCCTAGATATGATATTGGGCCGTATAGATGGGCCTGATTCTTGTGAAAGAAAAACCCTAGCTCTGCTCTCATGTAGTTTTAAGATCGCCGCAGGCGGAATTGAGAGCCGGATCTTCTTCTTCTGTTCGATTAGTCGAGTTTTCTGACGAAGGAGGTTTCGGCGACAATGGCTCGAGGAGCGGCGGCGATGGCGACGGCGGCGGGGAAGAAGAAGGGATCTACCTTCGTGATTGACTGCTCGAAACCAGTGGATGATAAAATCATGGATGTTGCCTCTCTTGAGAAGTTCCTTCAGGAGCGGATCAAGGTCGGTGGAAAGCCCGGCGCTCTCGGCGACGCCGTCACTGTTACTCGCGACAAGACCAAGATCACCGTTACCGCCACCTCCGACTTCTCCAAGCGGTATCTCTCTCTCTCTCCCTGTGTATGTTTGAGTTAGGTTCCAAGTTTTTCTTTGAACTGATCCATTAGATCTGAATGGTGAGTATTATGCCGAGGGTATTGGAGCTCCATTTTGTTTGCGCAGTGCTCATTTGCAGGATCCATAGGTTTTTAGGTTTATCAGCTAAAATTCTACAATCCATTGTGCATATTATGTTGAAGAGGAGTAGACAAGTAATTTCTCATCTGGCGATGATTGTTCATGTAATCATTATACTAGGATATATCTTTGCTACTGAATCTGCTACTAAAGGATAGATACATCCTCTCTCGCTTTGGAGAAAGCTTCATCTTGAATTCTATGGTTGATATTCTCTTCGAGGTGTTTACCATTTCAATCCCATCATCACGTAGAAATGACTTCTTCCAAGTTTCCGTGCGCCATTGAGAAACTTAACAGCTTTGGTTATGGAGTGAACCCAAATGGTTGGAAACTTGTCTGGTTTCGATTCGATCTCGTGTGTTATGATATATCATTCGTCTCCAATTGGGCTATGTCTGTGAATGTGTTTGAATTCTACGAAACAAACGCATGCCATTGGTGTTGCTTATGATTATAAATGATTGAAAGTGTTTGCTGTGTTGGTTGATCAGGTACCTCAAGTACTTGACGAAGAAGTATCTGAAGAAGAACAACGTGCGCGACTGGCTTCGTGTGATTTCGTCCAACAAAGACAGAAACGTCTACGAGCTCCGTTACTTCAACATTGCCGAGAACGAGGGGGAGGAGGAGGAAGACTAAGCTTCTTCTTCTTCCGCCATTTTCTTCTCCCGTTGCCGCCTCCTTAATTATTTAGCCTCAGATTTTTCTTTTTGCTGTGAAACCTTGGCTTTGTTTTACTGCAAGTTTTGGTTGTCTATTTGGTTTTTTTCCTGAGTGCTCAAGATTTCAGATTTGGTGATGATATGGCTTATTCTGTGACGGCATTAAATCTCAAGATTTATGGTAGTATGGGTTTTCGATCCATCAATAGAGGTAACAAACCCAGAAAGATAACGAGAAGAAGTAACGTTTGTCTAGCAGATCAAAGAACCATTTGGGTCTCTTGCTCCAATTTCAGGCCCAATCTTTTCCATTGGCCCAAACCCATTCGACCTGTACTAACCCTATTCCCTTTCCCATGTCCGTCAACCTTCTTCCGGCTTCCTTCATCTCTCATCCTTTCTCTAATTTTGCTTATCTGGCTTCTCATCTCAGTGCTGCCACAACCATGCTCCACCGTCGAGCCTTTGGGTCCGACCGGTTGGCGCAGTCAACACCATCTCTGAGTCGACGAAAGGTGGTGGTTCTTCCCTCGGTTTGTGAACAAAGATGAACCAAGTCCGGCAAGGTAAGGTGAACTCCATCGACGACGATCCACCTGTAAACCAAGAAGGCAAACCGCAGAGACCGAACCTCGACCAAGATGAAGATAAGTGTTCAGCGCCCTAACTCTGGTTCCGATTCCTTTCGTTTGTTCACATATTTTAGGGTTTCGCTTCTGGGATTAGATTTCATTCGGATCATGAGTGAACCTATGTCTTCGCTTTTATAGAAAGCTCAAATACCGAACCTCAGTTCCACATCTTTAATCAACTATTGAGTTTAAATCTGATTTCTTGATCTTGAATCAGCATTCAGCATTTGAAACGTTTCTGTTCAATCTTTTTTATAAGCGCTTCAAGTTCAAGACTTGACATGTTTAATTGAATGTCCGTTTTAAAGTCTGTTTTTTTCCCCATAGGTGCGAGTGTGCTCCGTCACTTTAGGATTGGATCCATTTTCATCCGCTCTTATTCAAATATAAATAAGAGGAAATGGACTGATCAAAGTCGTTGGATTGGTCAAATGTTTAAAACTCTTAGAGCCCTTCTTTCAATTTTTCTCTATTTAAAATTGTTGATTATTCTTTTGGTTCAATTTTGTTACGGCATGTGGTGTCAGAACTGCATTCACACCTATAAATATACTTCGTAACGAATCTACAAGAAGTGTCATGAGAAGAGAATTCGTATGTAACATGGAATCAATGGTACCGATGAGTAAGAAAAACATCACTCTCTAATCCCCTTAACTTCGGAGATAAACTATACAAATCTACATAACGTGGTTTGTCTCCGTCAAATGAGGGTATGAGAGGTGACACTTCTCTCCCTTGTCGCTACCCTTGGTTTCGTGTTCCAAGCGTCTCTCACTCGTGACACTTTTTATATTTATTGGAATATATATCTATGGGTTTACAACATATTGAATGCAGCTCTGATACCACTTGTTGTGATAAAAATGAAACAAAAAGTTGTCCCTTGAAAATTAGAGAAGAATTTGAAGAAAAGTATAGAGAATTTTAAATGTTTGGCAAATATGCCGATTTTGATTAGCGTTGTTCTTCGTGCTTTTACTTAGAGTACAAACGATTTTTGAAACATTCGAATAAATAGAGTATATGAACTCGTGCTTACTGAAGCAGAGCAATCTAGATTCTAGAATAAAGCTTTACTTACAACGGGCCCAACGCAGGTACAACGTTGAGGAAGAAAACAGGAGCGGAGAGCTCTCAGAAGGTATCGTGGATCCCACATCCCAAATCGGTTTCTACAGACTGGAAACCGGTACTGATGAGATCGACCCTGGCGAGCTCCGGTCCACCCTCTTGAAAAACAACGAAGAGACATGCACTAACCACATGCGGAGACTTAGCTGGAAAGCTATTTGATCATTTGATATGGTTCTGTAGTAATCTCTCTGTGTGTAACATATGGATCATTTGGGTTTATGAAATAGGCCTTTTTTTGGTTTAACGTGAAGATGTATATATCAAGATCATTGTTTGTGTACAAAACAGCCATGATATGGCTGATTACAACCCATAAGGGAGCCCATGGCAAGTGGTTTAGAATAGAGAGCTCTGCCCTGTTCTACTATATATCGTTTTCGACGCCGGCAGTGAATGGGTGGGTGTGGTGGTGTCGCCTGAAGCCATAAGGTACCGGTCCTGCAGGAGTCGGTTCTCAGTAGTAGGAGCTGTTGCCTTGTGAGCTGAGATAAGGGTGTTGTTGCTCATCGAGTAGTCAAGCTTGCAACGAGCCCGGTGAAGCGATTTGTGCTTCTCCTGCCAGATTACATGTATGGCTAGTTGCAGGGTCAGTTCTGCTAGCGTCTCCCTGCCTCTGCTGACTGGGTTGCTCAGGGATCGAATCTTGGTATGGCAGAGGGTGATGCTGTCCGGGGGGTGATTCATCGGATTACGCAGCTTGTGCCGTTGTACTCGTGGCCGAGCTACCAAGTGCACTTTTTAGTGAAAGCAGGTTTGTAGTCCGAGTCAGCCTGCTTCCACGGAATGGAGTCGCTTACTCCGTCATCGTCGGGGTCCAACGCCGGAAGGTGGATTCTTTCTAATCTTGCGTAGTCCAGTCGGCAAGCCAGAACCGCGCGCATCCCCCGTTCCCGACCTTCGTCTTGATGAATTGGGGGGCCTTGTCCTTGAAATAGGCCTTTTTATAAACTCTTGTAACAATCTCCTCTCATTATTCATCGCAATTCTTATACAAACTTTACGTAATTCTTTCCGCAGAGCTCGCTTGCTGAGACATCAGCGGCTATTGGCTATGGCCATCGCCGAAATCTCGGCCCAAACATCTTCTTTTCTCGTCGACAAGAGAGGGATCCATTCCGATTCCTTTTACGCCTCTCTTATCGATAGCTCAACTCGCAAAGGGCACTTGAGGCAAGTCCATGCACGTTTACTGCTTTTAGGATTTCAATTCAGTGGTTTCTTAATCACCAAGCTGATTCACGCAAGCTCTGAACTTGGAGACATGTGTTATGCACGTCAGGTGTTCGACGATTTTCCCCATCCAGATGTATTTCCGTGGAATGCCATAATTAGGGGATATTGCAGAAATGGTTTCCTCCGAGATGCCCTTCAAATGTATTCCATGATGCTACAGTCCTGGGTCTCTCCTGATGCTTTCACTTTCCCTCACGTGCTTAAAGCTTGCAGCGGTTTGCCCGCGCTTGAAACGGGTCGGAGGATTCATGGGCAGATCTTTCGACATGGGTTTGAATCAGATGTATTTGTCCAGAACGGTCTCATCGCCTTGTACACGAAATGCCGACACATTGGTCGTGCAAGGGTTGTGTTTGACGGGTTGTCCGAGAGAACAGTTGTCTCGTGGACCTCCATCATCTCAGGCTATGCTCAAAACGGCCAGCCTTTGGAGGCTCTCAAGATTTTCAGACAGATGATGAGAACGGATGTGAAGCCTGACTGGATCGCCCTTGTGAGCGTTCTCAATGCTTTCACAGATATGCAGGAATTGGAGCAAGGGAGATCTGTTCATGGTTCTGTGGTCAAGATGGGTCTCGAGACAGAGCCTGACTTGCTCATCTCTCTCACGGCCATGTATGCGAAATGTGGCCAAGTGGTAAGTGCCAGGAGGCTGTTTGATAAGATGGAGATAGACAATCTGATTTTGTGGAATGCGATGATCTCTGGGTATGCTAAAAATGGTTATGCTAAGGATGCCATTGATTTATTCCGTAGGATGATCGGTAAGAATATCAGACCCGACACTATCTCCATAACATCTGCAATTTCAGCTTGTGCACAAGTTGGCTCTCTTGAACAGGCTCGCTGGATGGATGAATATGTCAGCAAGAGCAGTCAAAGGGATGATATCTTTGTAAACACTGCTTTAATCGACATGTACGCCAAATGTGGAAGCATAGAGTCAGCCCGTTCAGTTTTCAACCGAACGCTTGACAAGGATGTTGTTGTCTGGAGTGCCATGATTGTCGGGTACGGATTGCATGGCCGGGGAAGAGAAGCCATCCATTTGTACCAGGAAATGGAACGAGCTGGAGTGCAACCCAATGATGTAACCTTTCTCGGGCTTCTCATGGCATGTACCCATTCAGGCCTAGTGCAAGAGGGCTGGTGGTTCTTCCATCGCATGAAGGAACACAGGATCAAGCCAGAACACCAGCATTACGCATGTGTCGTTGATCTTCTTGGACGTGCTGGTTATCTCGAGAAAGCCTATGACTTTATCAAGAACATGCCAATCCAGCCTGGTGTATCGGTCTGGGGTGCTCTCCTAAGTGCTTGCAAGACCCATCGCCACGTGATATTGGGAGAATATGCAGCTGAACAGCTTTTCTCGTTAGATCCTTCCAACACAGGGCACTATGTGCAGCTCTCTAATCTTTATGCAGCGGCCCATATGTGGGACAGTGTATCAAAGATACGAGTGATAATGAAGGAAAAAGGATTATGCAAAGATCTCAGCTTCAGCTCGGTTGAAATCGATGGAAAACTCGAGACATTCCGTGTGGGTGACAAGTCGCACCCGAGATTTCAGGAGATACAGAGGGAGCTCGAGTCACTGGAGAGCAGACTAAAGGCGGCTGGATTTGTTCCCGTCATGGATTCTTCACTGCACGATCTGAACGAGGAAGAGGCCGAGGAAAGTCTCTGCAATCACAGCGAGAGGATTGCTATTGCTTACGGGCTTATAAGTACTCCTCCAGGGACTACTCTCCATATCACGAAGAATCTCAGAGCTTGCGTGAACTGTCATGCGGCTACAAAGCTTATATCGAAGCTAGTCGGCAGAGAGATCGTTGTGAGAGATACGAATAGGTTCCACCATTTCAAGGACGGAGTTTGTTCTTGTGGAGATTATTGGTAAAGTGACGATTTTCAGAAGAAAAATGTAACATTGGCTTGGCAATAAGGCACGGGGAGGGAGATGATAGAATACACACCTCTGGATCAAAGCAAAGAGATCAGGGAACCGGTTACTGTTTAATCTTGGATTCAGACTGATGCATCTGAATCCGACATTTTCCGTCGTCCAGATTTTGGAGCTGTCGCTTTGGAGGCTGTTTCAGTTGAGTTCAGTCCCTAAACTGCAGTTGTGTTTGCCTGTTGCTGTTGCTGTTGGTGTGAAGCAAAGATTGGTCCTGCAAATAGAAATCTGGAAAAGATCAGGGGCCAGTATGAAATATATATAAATTCATGGCTTATTACGAAACATGGATATGGGCCGATCATAGGCCCAAATTCGGAGCCCAATTTCGGGGATAGATCTCTCTGGTTGTAAATCCCAACTTCAGCCGGCGCCGACAGGGAAATAACTTGGACAAAATAAGCACGTGTCTCATATCATAACGTAAATTCTCCTTTTGTCTTTACGGGGCCGCCCGATAAAACAAAAAATGAAAATGAAAATTTAGAGCACATAACAATTAACATAAACTATGACTAATAATACTATAAAAATAAAATAAAAAACAAGAAGAATCGCATCCACATGAATAACCTACCTACCTCTCACACTCTCCCCCTTCCCTCAATTGTTACATAAGAACAAAAATGATCCAACCTCCGGTAACCGATATCCCAACATCCAAACCGTGCATATGGTTCGGTACAACATTTACCTTCCGGTTACGACATCGGTAGCATGGCTTCGGTTCGGTTTACGCAAACCGGTGGGGATCTGTGGTCATCCTCCTCCTCCAATCTTTGATTAATCCTCGTGGCAATTATCGGCTGATAAAATCAAACCATAAAAAAAACATATCAAGCAAAAACATTAAGCCAAACTAAAAGGACAAAGATGTAAAAATGCTTTGTCTTAATGCTCAGAGAAGAAAGAAAACATGTTTTTTTGACAAAACGATCGCTAAGTTGATGGATCAGATTCAAGGGGGGAGTTGTGGCTACTTTGGCTATAAAGCCACATGTGAGAACAGCTGGTTCAAGCCAAGGGTTCGTGAGCCACCGGGACCCACATTGGAATGGGTCCCCTCATGAGTCATGAGTCATGGCTATGGACATTTTTTTCTAAACTACAAAAGAGGCATGAGGTCGTCGGCCCCATAGTTAGTGTGTCTCAAAGCTGAAGACTTGAGACTTCTCTCATAACACACAGCTGACAGCTGTTATATATGACCATATCTATATATCCTATCACTATGGATGGTTATGTATCTATCTATTGGTATAGCTGTATAAAAGGGATGGCTAAAGGAAGGTGGTTCACACGTCTCTTCCCTTCCCACTCCCCCAATCTCCCATCCCTTGGTCTGAGAAACAGACTAAACGGCCACATGTTCAAGCTCTCCATGCTTTCCCTCTTTAACCTCAAAAGACCCCCCCACCAACGGTTCGAGTACACTAAAAATGCATATCATTTTTTCCTCTATGGTGCAGAGACATGAACAGGTCGAAGTAAGAAAGATGGCCCTACCACCAAACCGCAACTAGCACTATTCCATTCCATATCTACCGACACTCCAACAATGGCGGTATTAACAAAGCGAAGGCACAATCGCTTGAGGAGAGGCGTTGCTCTGTTTTCAAGCGATTGTTATATTCACTATTCACAAAAACAGGTTATAAAGTTGGCATCTTTTCCTTCTTCGGATGTCTATTCACTTGAAGCTGAAGGCCAACAAAAATATGGGCAGATCGAAAAGCCAAAACCCACGAAGAGCTAACTTAAGGCAAGGGTACTGATCCAATTCAGGACCAGATTAAGACTACATGGTTATCAAAGTTAGTCTTTTGTCTCCCGTGGCCAGTGGTTCAACAAATAATAATAATAATATAATGAAACAAAAAGGGGAGTTTTAAGAAACTAATGAGCAAAATATGAGCGAGACAAAACAATTAGAATAAGTTGCAAAAAAAGCAGAGCTCTGAAGAGATTTTACCCAGGCCGAGTCTCGTCCCAATGCGAGTGGCGATACAAATCGTAAGGCGCCCAAAGTGCGTCTAATGGACATGGCCGCTTCGAATCGAGCCTTAACCAGGGCTTGCCACTGCCGGACCAATGCAGCAAGCTCACCGGACCAGGATGCAAATCCCGGCAACTACCTCTCACATTGTCTCCGCCCAGTCCGTGCTGGTTCCACCTGTGCGAGATTGGCGCCACATTTCCGGCGAAGACCAGAAGGAACGGCGGTAGCGATCCCAGCTCGTAAATCCGCTCGCTCTTCTGGATCTCCATCCATTTCTCGATCTGTCTCGTGTATCCGACCCGCCTCCACTTCTCTAGATCCATCACCATTACTCCGCTGTTGAAGTAGCAAGGGTTTCTTCCCTTGAACGTCCCGGAGAACCGCTCGTCGGACCAGAAAGTTGCGGTGAAGTACTTGGTGAAATTCGCCCGGCAGTATTCCGGAGCTCCGATTGTTCTAGGACCCAGACTCGTTCTCCATAGCTTCGCGATGTCGTCGACGACGACGAGATCCGAATCCAAGTAGATGACCCGTTTTACGCAGGGCTCGAGCAGTTCCGCCAGATAATTTCTGGCGTAATTCAGCGGCTCCTCGAGCGCTTGCCTCACGGAGGAAGAAATCAGGCTCCGTAGAGTCTCGGGTGCAAAATAGTAAACCTTCAACTTCAATCCCGGGAAAGTCGATCGAACCACATGCTCTAGGTTCATCTCGGACACGAGGAAATGGAAGAAGACACTCTCGGGGCACATGGAGTGCTGGAGAATGGAATGCACTGCGGCGATTGAGCCACGGAGGTACTCGACATCGAGAGTGATCGCGACGTGGACCAGTGAGGGGCTGCAGTCGCCGGAATGGACGCCGGATGAATCGCATCCGTCGGCATTGCGGAACGAAGGCGATTTTCTGAAGGAGAAGCGGCGTGAGGAGTGATATACCGGAGGTGATGGCCGGAGATAGGCGTTGAGATGCGACGATTGGATGGCTTCGGCCGGCGGGAACGACTGGAACGACGGAGAAAGGACGATCATCGTCAACGCGGCGGAGAAGAAGCCGGAGAATCTCATAAGCCAAAGCATCGTGAAACGGTCTATGAATCCCCCTCTCCTTCTCCTTCTCCTTCCTCCTCGTCGGCGTCTTCTTCTTCAAATTCGAATCCGAATCCACCAGTCCGCCAGAGTTATTCAGGTAGCGTAAAAATGCGAAAGGAAAGAAAAGCAATGAGGGAAGAAGAAAAGAAAATACGAGAGCGTTAGGAATGGAGAAAGGTAGAAGAAGAAGAAGAAGAAGAAGAAGAAGAAGAAGAAGAAGAAGAAGAAGAAGAAGAAGAAGAGAAGAAGAAGAAGAAAAGAAAGAAGAAGAAGAAGAAGAAGAAGAAGAAGAAGAAGAAGAAGAAGAAGAAGAAGAAGAAGAAGAAGAAGAAGAGACGCCGAAAGGAAGCGGAGGGGCGCAGGATAAGAAGCAGAGAGCTATCGTGCGCCGCCTTGTGCGCTCTTCACCTCTGCTCGCAGAGCTCCCTCTTCCCTTGCACAGGTTTCATGGGGCAGAGGTGATAGAATCAGAGAAGAGAGAGAGAGAGAGAGAGAGAGAGAGAGAGAGATGTCTTTACTTTCTTTTTTTAGTTTTTTTCGTATAAAAAACAATTGAAACACACAGAACGAAACACTGATTTTATTTCTTGGGTTCATTATTTATGGAAAGTGGCGAATAAATATTTATTTAAATTTGGGGGAAATAAATGGAAGAGAGAAAGCAGCTGTCACTGTCTTCAGCCGACGGTGACGATTCTCTCTCTCTCCGATGGTGGAGATTAGTGAAATGACGATACTGTCCTTGGAAAAGAGATCCCGCCAAATTACTGGACCCACAACTTGAGAAAACACGTCGTCGTTTTGCCTGACGCGCACCCGACCCAGGCGAATCTTAAATTTAGCTTCAAAAATCTCACACGTAGGAATTGAAAACTTTGCGATCTTTTCTCCAATAACCCACCAATAACCTTCGGCCACGTAGGCAGTGAGAGTGAATGCAACATCTAATTAAAGTACAACTAAAGTAAACAATTCCATTAATCGTGAAGTCTAAAACTCCCTTTCAACCAGTTAGTTTTAGTTGGTTTATTTCTTTCGCGTGGTTTGACAGCTACTGTGTAGGGGCCGGTGAATTTACTGTCCAAGATGCTGTTCGGAAGAATGTAAGACGGGTTCTCCGTGTTACCAATATATATATATATATATATATACGACATTAAAACATTTACGTAGTTAAGTGTGTTCCTTCTTTGTTCAGAGACCGTACGGCCTACACTTAGAGACTGTGTTGTAAATGTTACGGTTGAGTTGAGACCAGGCTGGTCCTTGTGGGCCTAAGCCCGACCCGGCTCTCTGTTCTATGATGTGCTCATCTCAACGAGACATGCATGATGCAGTTGCATCCACGTGTCTTTGGACTATGGTAAGGTATTCAAGATTGTACTCTACTCTCCATTGCATGTAGTATTTGTAGTATTACTTGCAACGCACGGTAGGCCCCCTGAGTACATATTTAGACTTAACAGATTACCAGTTAGAGAAGCTGTTCCCGAAGGGATTCAGGCAGAGATGTGACGAATGGGCAATTTCCTTGGTAACAAATACAGATTTCTGGTAATGAACTTCTTAAGAAGAAGAATGCTGAGTTAAATACTGAAATCAAAAGAGGATTCGCTTAAAAAAAAATCTATAGGAGCAACAACCGAATAATAAGCGAGATGGCTAGAGCAAGGTGAAAGGAAATGGCGGATCCAGAGATAGAAGAGGAGGAAGCAGAGATAATGACGGGTGGCACAGGCAATCGAGGAGGATGCTTCGGTGATTTGGGCGCAATCACACACTCGTTACACGGCGGGCAATGATTGCACTGCGATTTCGGTGGTGGCAGTGGCGATGGCCCTCCAGCAGTGGCAGAGAAGGAGAAGGCGGTGGCTTTGGAGACTGCAGGGGCTGACAAGGGTTTGCGCATTGTGCATTCAAGCGGAGTTTTCAGAGTTATTGTTGACGTGAGACGCAAGAAATCAGATTGTAGCGTTGGAAATAGAAGTGAACAGAGGGAGGAACTTGCCTGGTGGTTCTTCTCGAGGACACAGAGAGGCTAGAAGTTTTTAACATGGTGAAAGGAAAGGAAGATCATGAAGAAACATGTGTGTGTATTATGGACTATACCCCAAGTGTATAAAATGAAATCATGACCAATCGAAATGAAAAGGAAACAAGAAGGAATGTGAAGGAGCGACGAAAGCGATAAAGAGTAAACGTACGCACGTTCAAGTGATCAGAGAGACATGGAGGCCGAACCGTTCTGGCCAAAGCTCAAATGTGTCTCCAAACGCCCTGCTGCAGCCATTATAAACCCTGCCACACCATTCCATTCCAATATCCATGAAACATGAATTCCATGCCATGCCATGCTCTGTTTTCAGTGTGAGGGTGTTTCCAGAAACACTTGCCTAGAAATGGAGGCGATGGCCTTCTGGGCCTTGACTTGAATTCTGGATGAAATTGCACCCCTACATAGAATGGATGACTCGGAAGCTCCATAACCTGTGTACAACCACCAACAATGCATCTATATGTGATATACCACATGGAATTTGAGATACATCACTCCCTAGTAGAGCTTGATGGCTCTTACTTACCTCCACTCGTTTTCCGGTTTCATCCTTGCCTATAAGTTTTAAACCAGCTTCTTCTAGCGCCTGAACTACTTCTGGGTTCACCTGCTTCATACATCCAGTGAGTAGTGCGATATTATCTCAGACCAATGGAAGAATCAACAAAAGGAACTAACCTCGTAACGATGTCTATGACGCTCATCCACATAGTCTGTATTACCGTATCTGGAAAAAGGCATGAACAATGTACACATTACTCGTTGAATCATTCAATCTCCAAGAGTTCAACATAAAGTAATTGCGTACAATTTTGAAGTGAGACAGTCCCGAGTTTGTAAGAGTGTCCGACGAGATCCTAGTCTCATTGTGCTTCCCATATGTGTCCTTGAACCCTGTGATGATATATGTCATTGATGAAACTACAGGCTTCGTGCATAACAACCTCCAATCCATGCAAATAAAGGTAAATGTGGCTTTCTGTTGTGGCATACATACTTCTGGCATGAATATAACGGCAGGATCAGGTGTCTGGGCATCGAATTCAGTGCTATTTGCTCTTTCCCGACCCAAAACCTAAAAAATATCTCAGAAAGCTCAGGCAATATCAGGGCAGGAAAATGGAGTGTGTGAATGAAATTCTAAAATTTTCAAGAAGACATATACTCACCGATCTGGCATACTCAATTACAGCTATCTGCATGCCCAAGCAAATCCCTAGATAAGGGACGTTATTTTCTCTGGCGTATTTTGCCGCTAAAATCATTCCACTCACGCCACGATCTCCAAAACCACCAGGAACCAGGATGCACTCTGCATTCTGCAAAAGATAAAACCTTGAAGCTAGCCTGTGCACTAGACCCTCTAAACAAATTCAAAAGTCCCCCTATAAAGTGTATGCAGAATTTATGTTGTAAAGTTCCAAGCATCATTTCAGATCTCCAATGCAACAAGTTTTTATACACAGTAAGCAAGGTGCCATCTTAGTCCACAAAGCTGTGCCCAGAATCAGGCTGTAGTCTAGTCTTTTCCGTGCAATCCTCAGCAGATAGAGCAGAAGCAACGAAAATCTTACCTTCAAGGTTTTCCAAGCAACAGCATGTGCTTCTGGAGTCTGTATGCAGAAAGAATTACAACAAAGAAAAAGTTGCTCGTAGTACAAACTCAAATAATAAAATTTTTAAACAATGAAACCCAGTATTTTTTTACCGATTTTTTACTTTCATCTTCAAGATCTGAAGCTGCAATCCATTCTACCTGTGGTTTTAATGAACATGCAATGCATGCGTGCAAAAGGGCCTACATATAAATGGGAAATGTGAACAAGAAAGAAAATTACGTCACAGAAACTCAGTGTAATAACAACAAAGCAATGTCAAACTGATGACACAAAACGAAAAATATGGAAGAGACAATGTCATGTACGGAAAGACAATCATCTTGGTACAGCAAAAATGGAACTCCCAGGGCACCTTAGCAACAGATAGGTATGAATCTGTCAGGCCAACATACTTCCCAACCATAGAAATTTTGACCTGAACTAACAAAAAGCTAGCGTCATTAAACAAGAATACTCATATGCTTCGAAATATGTTACTCCTTGAGCGTGCATGAACTTACTGAATTTGTTATATTATCAAAAGTCTCAGCCATCCTGGTCCAGCTATCCAGAGCAGGTTGTGTAGCAATGCTGAAAAAGATGACTTTCACAAATGATTAGCTACAAACACCTACAAACCATTTCAGGAAAGCAAGGCTTTAATATCGCAGAGAAGTACTTTATAACAGTAAGGAATGCGTGCCAAAAGAAAAAGTAGTAGAAGACTTCCATTTTGGAGAAATGATGCTGCATATCAGACTTTACAGGGTTGGAAATATAAGGAAACGTTAGACAACCTCAGCAAACTTCATAGTGAGACTAACCTGAGCAGATTTAGTTGTTTGAGAATTGAGAGATGTGCATTTTGGTTCTGCAACACAAATGCACATAAGAAAACGATACCCAAAACAATTCAAATTATGCGTCCTCTTTGTGTTTTCTTTTAAGAGCCAAATTGGATACCCTGAGTAGAAGAGGAATGTGCCAAATGTTTGGGACATCATGGATATTCAGAATATTAGCAGCCTGTAAGAACCATGAAGTCGTATAAATCACAGTTGCAGTAAGAAATACACCAAGTTAAAAAATCACTAAACAATCTTCACAAGTCTACCTGCACATGGCAAAACTGAGACAGTTTCGCCTTTGTTGTTTCCAGTAATGGCTGCAGAAGCATAAGACGTGTCAAACTGAGAAGCAAAAGCAAACAATGCAAGTGATCAGCTAAAATTGAGAATACTTTATTAGTGCAGCTCATTCCATTGGTAAGGTATGCAGGGTACAGTCAAATTCCAAATATAGAAAAATCTATGTTTCCGAGAAGTCAGGGATTGCTACAACTATGACAAGGAGTGCCCAAATGCAGAACACAAGACATACATGATGCTAATGCTAATGTGTGAATAACTAATGATCTAAAATCTGAAAACTAATGTGAAAAATGCCTTCTAGACTAGCTTTACATAGGCACAAGTCAGCTTAGAAGCAATACCTGAGCAGAGCGACATGCCAAAAGGTGAGGAGTCAAGCCCAAAGCTCTTAGTTCTCGGACACTGTGTTGGGTTGGCTTTGTTTTCTGCATGAAAGAGTAGAAACAAAATTCAATCTAATTCTAGCGTCTGACATATTTTAGAATGGGATAACAAAGATTCCAAAGATTGAGCATTTATCTAAATAAGGCAGTTTACCTGCTCCCCGACAACACCCAAAACAGGAATCAGGCTCACATGAATCAGGCAGAAATTTTCTTGTCCTAAGAAAAGAAAGCAGAATCAATGTAAACAAGAACCGATATAATCAACTACTGAAATAAAGATGCCTAACCCTGAACAGATAAGGCTTGCCAAGCGACTTTAACCAATGATTTATAATATTTAAAAAAAAAGATCCTCTGAGAAGAACGCCTCATTCACATTGGAAACCATTGTTTCCACAATAGGGACAGGACTCTCATGCTTACCAACAGAAAATGATAATTGCCTCAAGGCCTCAATAAATGGCATGGATTCTATGTCACCTATGAAAAATAAAAATAAACAAGAATTTTAAACATTATACAAGTAGATAAGCACCAGATAGCAGATGTATTCCACCAAAATGCTCTCACCAACAGTCCCTCCCAACTCAATAACACAAATATCAGGTGGGCCTTCCTTTCCATCGACAGGAATCAGAGAGACTGATGCAATCCAATCCTTAATTGCATCTGTAATATGTGGAACAACCTAAAATCCATTTAAGCAGGAGAAATAAGTTCAGAGTAACTACACACCTAAGCATGTTCGACCAATTCATACACCAATCATTACCTGAACAGTCTTCCCGAGGTAGTCCCCTCTTCTTTCCTTCTCGAGAACAGACTAAAGAAAAATGTATAAATGTTGGTCATGTACAGGAACTAGCTCACCATTTTAAGTTTTTTAAAAAAGGTTTACTGATGCGGCTCATCCAGAAATGAAGTACCTGATATATCTTCCCAGTAGTTATGTTATTATCTTTAGTCAGTGTCACATCCAGAAATCTTTCGTAGTTTCCCAAATCTAAATCAACCTTCAAAAAGAGCAGAGAAGATCGAAAAGTTACAACCAGTGTTTATAAACTATTATCTAGTACCCCTATGCTTCATGCCGAATGTAAGGAATAAGAGAGTTGAAGATACCTCTCCACCATCATCAAGTACAAAAACCTCCCCATGTTCAAACGGGGACATAGTACCAGCATCAGTGTTTAAATACGGATCTGCAAGGATACGATAAGAGTATAAAACTCACCAAAATCAAAATTCATGAAACAGCATTGGGAATATCAAAATTAACATACCTCTCAGAAAGGGAACAAAAGCATAGAATCAACAATCCCCAGAGTTGGAATGAAACTTCTCCTATGTTTGGTATTACATCATTCATGCCCAAATAATACAAAGACGATTTGGACAGAACAAATTCCAAAAAGAGGTACCTTTACAGCCTACCAATCGGAAACTACTAATGTAGATACAAACGCAAGAGAAACAACTTGAACGTGGAGAATGACACGAACTGAGAAGGCGTAGATCTAAATCGATTTTGAAATCGCTGCCTCAAGTGGAATTCTCTAATTCGATCAAAAGATACGTCCGATTGTGGACAAATGTCATTCCAAAATCACAATAAAACGGCCTAAATAGAAAACAAGCATATCAATGGAACAAAAAAAATCACTACTGAGAAGAAATCGTCACCGATTTTAATGGAAGTAACTCGGAGACCGCACGATTTGAGGACGACGCCGATACTGCTGGCAGTAACTCCTTTTCCGAGTCCGCTCACCACACCTCCGGTCACCAACACGTATTTCATCCTCTCAATTTCTCCGCCGTTCTCTGCAGCAAATCGCGGATCTACACAAATGGAAGCCATTGTTAGAAGAACCCTCAAACCAAGTGTTTGCATTAATGCCCCGGTGAGAAGAGAATGCTACTACCAAGGATGCGAACTGCTTTTCTCTTTCCAAGATTTGCAACGGGAACCTGAGCCCTCACTCCATAACTCTTGGACCTAACAACCAATGAAACAAAACCACGTGTCCAGAGCTTTGGTCAACCAGCCAAATGACTGAATTATCCCCCACGCGCACACGTGTTTCGTGTAATTCACTCTCTGTATTCTCGTCTAATTAGAATTATTTATTTTTTAAATTATTAGAATATGCCACGTAGACTCGTCCATCATCGTAACGTGGCAGCTCCACAAGGGGCCTTTGCTTCTCCCGCCTCAACGTAATGGAAAATTACACTTTCCCTCTTTCGCCCATTTGCCAATCTTCCACGAGAAGCGACTCTCCGAGTTTCTGTTCAATCCTGTTCCTAATTCATCAAAATTTCAATCTCTCCGATTTCTCCGCTTTGAGATCCTAATTTCTGTTCAGTTCTATTGGTTTCTCATACACTTTCCTGGAGATTTTCCTGAAGTCAAAATGATGGAATCAAGTTCTTCTCCTAAACCGTTTCTGGGTATCCGTTTCGCTCTCGTTGGGTTCAATCCCATCGATGGAAGCAAGGTATTTTAACGTTTTCTCGTTATTTTGTATGGTTTAGCCAGCCTTTTTTGGGTTTTCGAAACGTTCGCTGTCCAATTTTTCAGCGGTTTACCGCTGGTGCAACGCATTGGCTTCGTTGATTAGCAAGGACGGGAGTTATATTGGCCTAATTTTTGTTTTGGTTGGTCCTAATCTTACTTCAGTTGCGGTCCAAGCTCGTTAATTGTGGTGGTGTGGACATTGGCCGGTACAGTCAGGACTACACTCACCTCATTGTCGACAAGCTTGTTTATGTGAGTTTCATGTTTGCTCTTTATGTCTTTCAGTGTACGCGTGCTATGCAGGGTGAGATATTTTGGTATCGTAACTCGGTCACTTTTGGTCTTTTGTAGGAAGATCCTATATGCGTTGCTGCTCGAAATAGTGGGAAAATAGTTGTTCTGGGGTCTTGGGTTGATCACTGCTTCGACATTGGAGTGCTGGTTGATGCGAATTCTGTGAGTTCTTACTCAATCTTCTGTTTTTGCTATTGAAGATTATAGGTACATGAGATGCTAGAAGCATTTTAGTTCAGTGTACAGATTATTTGTGTCATTTCATTTGTACTTTCCAATTACAGATTATATGTGCTTCCAGTTATGGATCGTATGTGTGGTTTGTTAACCTCTGAGATATTGGTTGAAGGGTTTATCCTATGTTTTAGTAGTGTTTTATCAATTTTCTTTTATTCTAAGTCTTGGAATTTTTCCACTCTCTGAGGGAGTTGAGTTATTTATCTTTTCTTTTGGTAGGTTTTGTACAGACCCCCTAAAGACCTGAATGGAATTCCTGGTGCCAAAAGCTTAATTGTATGTTTGACCGGGTACCAGCGTCAAGATAGAGATGACATCATGGTTCGTGCTCGTTGGCCTATTTCTGTCTCGTTATCTATCTGTTGGTTAATGCAGTCATGGTTCTGAAATGTGAATCATTGTTTTCAGGCAATGGTTGCTCTGATGGGCGGACAATTCTCCAAGCCGTTGGTTGCTAACAAAGTAACTCATCTCGTATGCTACAAATTTGAGGGTGAGTTACTTATGAGCATTGGATAGGCGTCCCTTGCTTTTTTTCAAAATCAATTTTTATATGTTGTTCCATTTTCCTTACAGGGGAAAAATATGAACTTGCCAAGAGGATGAAGAAGATTAAGCTAGTGAACCACCAGTGGTTAGAAGACTGGTAAGAGTCATACTCCACAAGCTCTTTTTTATGGAGGTGGATACCTTTGTGGATTCTCACAGTTCTGTTTACTTGTGTGCAGTTTAAAGGAGTGGAAGCTCCTTCCGGAGGCTGATTATGAGATGAGGTAAAATGCGCGCATTTCATCTCTTTGTTTATGCTATGTATCAGCTTAAACCTTGAATCGCTAAATTGTAAAGGTGATCTAGGAACTTATTGAAAAATGTGTTGTATAGTGTCATCACAAGCAACTGGTTTTTTATTCTGCTCTTTTAGCAGCTGATGAGCTGTTTATCAGTTAGCTAGATCAGCACGACTCGGTTGAGCTGTCTTAGGATTACATGCTGCTAATTTTCTCTTTTTGCAGTGGCTTTGAGTTGGAGATGATGGAGGCTACAGCTAAAGATTCTGAAGACGAAGCAGAAGATGTTTCCTTGAAGCGTGCAAACAAGAGCCCTCTTGGTCTGAGGGTCAGTGTTGCAGTTGACGGGACTATGCCTAATTCAGAAGAAAGGAATGTGTCAGTTTCTCAAGCAAAATCGGCCACACAGGAAGATTCATCAAACACTAATGCATCCAAAGATTTGTGGTTAACTCCTAAAAAGGTGAACAGAGTCAGACCTAATGAAGCCATGGCCTCTACTGGCATCGATGCTTCTCTGCAACATGATTGTGGGAAAACAAGCACTATTCAGGATGCTTCCCATGGTACCAATCCACTTGAAGAGAAATCAGAGTCTAGAGAGATGAAAGATGGCCCGACGTCTATATCCAAGAGTACTACTAACAGGTTGTCACCCATGGTTCCTAAACATGTCTGTCTGAAAACAAACACTTTCCAGGATGCTTCTCATGATGCACTGCTCAATTCACTTGCCAAATCACCCGACTCTACAGAGGTCAAAGATGACATGACATCTACATACAAGAGCACTGAAAGGCTTCCATCACCGGCTAGGAATATGTGTTCCTTAACTTACTCAAGGAAAAGAGGTAAGAAATCGCCAGGTACAAAGTCCCAAGGAGATGAATCTAGCATCCCAAATGGCTCCCCAAGAACAAATGATGGTGGCTTAAAAGTTATAGTTGCTTCTGATATCTCTATATCAAAATCAGATTTTGTTGCAGAAGAAACCAATGTCCTTGAGGATCCCTGCAAGAGTGATAACGTGCATGGAAAAGAGTCCCTTCAGATGTTGCCTCAGAAAAGATTAGCAGATGGACATGTTAATGGCTCGAAATCACGAAAGGTGGGATGCACCAGTGAAGTATTGGTGGAACTGGAATCAATATCGCCAGAACAAAACCATGTTTTTGTGTCAAGTATTTGTGGTTCAACTGAAGGTAGGGAACTTGCACATAAATTGCCTGCAACTGATTCAACAACTAAGTCTTTGAGTTCAAATGTCATAGACATGAAAGATGTTATCCCTACTTCAGAAAATATGCCTTTGAAGGGTGCACTAACTGAGTCTATTGGCAAGAAAATGCAAGAAAGATCATTGACTGGGCTCGTGATGGAAAAATCTAGCATGGTGTCAGGTTTGGATTTACTTGTAAGTGACAACAAGACAGAGCCAGAGCAACCTAACAAGAAAACTGCTTCCAAAAAGACCCTTGGCATGAGACCCAAGCTAAAGAACAGCGGTAATCAAAAGGGATCTATTTACTTGAGCAAAACTGCATTAAGCAATGACCTTAGTAATTGCTTAAGCAATGGAAAAGTTGCATCTCTGATGCTGGAGAGTGACAATCAGAAGGAAATGTCAATTCCAGCTATTAATTTTGAATCCATGCTGGAAATGGCGAAACAAATCGACTCTGGAGATAAAGCTTTTGAGAAATTCAGCTGCACAGATGGTGAAACCAATCCTCCGGAGGAGAAAGTTAGCCACGAGTATGACACAGCCGTAAACAAAGATAGGTTGGTTGTGATTGAAGGAGAGGTGGAAGTAAGATCAGTAGGAGCAGAAGTAAATGACGGTTCAAATGAGGATGGACCCGATGATACCACAGAACCAGAGGTTGATGGAAATACAAGTAAATGTGGAAAGGATGCCTCTGGGGAAAATATTAGCACTGGAAATGCGAAGAAACGTGATTTACGTACAGCTGAAGTGGGGAAAGTTTACACCAGGAAGAAGAAGTCTAGAAAAGAATACAACTTGAGAGGAAATGACAACGAGATGAAAGATAAGGGGGATAACTCCGTGGAAGAAACGGAGGACGTGTCTGGGAATAAAAGTTCTGGGAAGATTAGTGAAGATCAGAGTTCAACAATCGGAAAACCACATGCAAGAAACAAAACAGCAAAGTCAAGTAAGACCCTAACAAAAGCTGATAAACTGTCAGGCAAGATCAATTCTACTTCTAAGTCGATGTTTAGTAGAAATGCCTTGCAAGTCACAGGAAAGAAGTCGGCATGTTTCATTGTCAATGGGCTTAGGTTTCAGAAAAAGGAATATCAGAAGATTGTTAGGCGTTTGAAAGGCAAAGTCTGTAGGGACTCTCACCAGTGGTCTTATCAGGCAACGCATTTCATCGCTCCAGAAATTCGCCGGACTGAAAAGTTTTTTGCCGCCGCTGCATCCGGGAGGTATGATCACCAAAATAACTTAATGCAGTACTACTATTGTTATAACTTGTTTAACACTCTTTGACTCTCCATTGTAGTTCTCTATTCTGTGTCTTTTATGTTGAGTGTCAAGACAAATGTCAAACTAAGCTTTCTCCTGTTTTTAATGCAGTTGGATTCTCCATGGAGATTACTTGCCTGCTTGTAGTCAAGCTGGGAAATTCTTGCCTGAAGAGCCTTTTGAATGGCATGGAACCGGTCTTAGTCAGGACAGTGTGATAAACTTAGCGGCTCCAAGGAAATGGCGACTGATTAGGGAGAAAACGGGTCATGGTGCCTTTTATGGGATGCGCATTGTCATATATGGTGACTGCATCGTCCCTTCTCTGGTAACTACTCTTAATTCTGTATTTTATGTTTATCAAACAAAAAGCCACTGGATCTTCAACTGGATTTGTGAAAATGTTACAGAGAAAACAACTCCATCTGCCAGTTTCTTGTTCTCGGAAGAATTGTGCTTCGCTAATGAACATGTTTTCGCATGATCAGGACACGTTAAAGCGTGCAGTGATAGCCGGGGATGGTACCATACTAGCAACAGCACCACCGTACAAGCGGTTCCTGAACGCAGACACTGATTTTGCTGTGGTAAGCCCTGGAGTTCCACGAGCCAACGCCTGGATCCAGGAGTTTCTGAGTCATGAGATACCTTGCGTTGTTGCTGATTACCTCGTGGAATACGTGTGCAAATCCGGGTACCCCCTTGACAAACACGTGCTTTACAACACAAATGTGTGGGCAGAGCGCTCATTTAACAAGCTGCTACGAATCACAGAGGGAGAAAGATAAGGAACGTTAACTGTGGCAGATAACTGTGGCATTTGTACATAAGGCATGATTTCAAACTCACATGAACAAAGACCACTCAATAGTAATTGTAATTTGTAAACCATCAACCAAATCTCGTATGACTTAATGAATAGATTGAATCTTAACAGTGAACATATGTGATAGGTGGAGTTTGTGGAAGCTGCGACAAAGAAGAGGCGATGCTGATATGATTGCTTCTGTCCTAAATGCAGTGAAGCCACTCCCAAAAAAAAGATAAGGTAAGCCTAAATATTAAAATCCAATTATGCTAAAGTCATATCTTATTGCAACTAATGATATGTAAAACTTGAATGCAAATGGAATTAAGGACCATTTTTTGTAAAATTAAATGTATATGTAGCTTTTTTTATAATTCGAAAATTTATCGGATATTCATTCCAATTACATCTTCGAGAATTGGAAAAGATTAGATGAATATTGATCTCTAACCAACCAATGTTGGTATGTATATTTTTTTAAAAATAATTTGAAAGTTTATCGATATTTTGGTACAACTACATATACAAGAAGATAAAGAGAAATTCACATGTTTTTTTCTATGTTTGGATTTAAATTTGGGATAAAAATATGTTTTATATATTTTCTTTACCACTGGATTGTTTAAACTTGGTGATTGGGATGTATAGTTAGGTTCTGTCATCAATCAAAAACACTGAGAACAAGAGGGTATAACCAAAGGTTTATAATGTTACTTTTTGTCATTTCAATGTCATTACCATTATCATTATTATTACTACCGTCAATGGTTGAGTAAGAGAAGTAAAAATTCAACCTGTTTTGTCATTTACCAATGAGTTGTCTGGACAGTGGCATGCAAAGACAGGAAAATTTGAACAGCGTTCGAGACTCTGGTAGTAAACAGACAAAACCCAAAAGGAAAGTGAATAAAAGTTATGGGGCAAATATTATTTATTATAAATATGATTATTATTATTATTATTCCAATGTAAGTATTTGAAATGACATGAATGGAAATAGAAAAAAGCTTCGTCCTTTTGCATATTCATCGTTTTGGGTGCCTTCGATTTTGATTAGAGCTCTGTCCTTCCTTCCCCTCTTTTACTGTTCTTTCCCATAATTACCCTTTCCTGAAAATTTAGTTACATAAGCTTTTTACTTTTACCTCTGCCAACCACCAAATTAGGTGATTCTTGAAATGACGTTCGGACGTGGCAAATTTCAACGTACTCATTTATTATTGTCTCTTTCTTTTTTTTATGTATTGGGAATTAATATACTTGATCAAATTGCTCTGTGCCTATATATATATATATGTGTCAGTGTGTGTGTGTGTGTGTTGAATCACAACTTAGAGGTTACATGTAGGAGGAGATAATAATATCAATTTTACAAAGGTATGATAATATCCAATAAAATTGATAAATCGACGTCAATTTCCGAAATATGATAATTGTGTATGAATGTGAAAACAGATGGCTTTTATCAATAGATTTTGGGGAATGTTTTTGAGGGAGTGACAAGACAGATTCACAAGGAACACATATAGGTTTAAGGTTTTGTCCTTTAGCTTAGCCGGAGAATAATGAAATAACAACAAAAAAATAATGCTTACAAAACTCCAAAATTCTCGGGCAGGCAATATTCTCTTTTATCCGTAGTTCGTCCACTCCACTGTATTCTCTCTCGAATTTCGACTCGTATTCAATCCCATTTAATTTGTTAGATTTTTTTTTATTGATACAAATATCTGTTTAGAAAAAAAAATGACTTATACATTCAAATGCTCATTTATACATTTAATTTAAATTCGTTTTAAAGTTGTATCTATATAGTTTTTAGATCAAATTTAATTTAAATGCCATGTAACCCCCTTCGTACCCAAAAAAAAAGAATGAAGTAGGAACAAAAATAAAATCAAACAGCCTCGCCCAACGGGCCATTACAAAAATAATAATAATAGTACCGAAACAATTCAGTAACTGAGAGCTTCGTACTTGACCGTAACCGGGTGACTAAACCGGGCTCTTGCAATCAGATTCCCCACCATTGCAATATCTCTACAAAACACTCCTTTCACCATATTATTATTATTATTATTAATGGGTTCGATCTTCTGATCTTTCGTCTTCTTCTCGGCGGCTTCTTCTTCTGCCGCAATGTCACTCGTCACGGCCGAATACCCCTTCTGGATCAATCTGTAGAGCATTAGAGTTGACATTCTGGCCCGGTCCTTAACCGATTCCATTTCTTCTTCTTCGGTTAACTCAAACCGGTCTATAAACGACATCGATCTCTCCGGTTTATGCCTTAGATTCAGCAACAAGTAAGCCCTCTCCAGCTCTGATCTCGAACACCCTCGTCGGATTCCCATCAGGCCGTAGTAATCCACATTCCCGATTTCTCCGTTTGCGATTCTTTGCTTCAGTTGTTGGATTTTTGTCGTCAAAACGCATAATTTTCCCGGTATTTCTCTGTACCGGACATTGTGCCGTTTCCAAACCGGACCGGGGAGTTTCCGGTCTCGTAAGATGGAGTTGTAGAGGAGCTTGAGGTGTTCCAGGTCGTGAAGAGAGTCGGGGAAGCACCGGATGGATTCCAGCAAGGAGGCTCTGGTTTCTAGGGCTTGGAGGCAGGACGGATCGAGGGCTAGGGTTTTATTACAATCGGCGATCGATTCCGCTGTCCGACCGGCGGCTTTGTATGCGGAGGCTCGGTGCATGAAGCACTCGGCGAGGAAACCCTGCGGCGCGCCGCGGCGGCTGTCGACGATCTTGGAAAAGTGGCGGATGGACTCCGTGTAGAGTCCGGCGTCGAGGGCCGCGAGCGCGGCGGCGCGCCGGCGCCAGAGCAGTTTGATGTGGGAGAGCATGCGGGGGAAGATC